CAGAAATTTATTCTCTCACATTTCTGGAGGCCAGAAATCTGAAATCAGTGTCAGTGGGTGGAAATCAAGGTATTGGCACAGCTAGATGCCCTTTGGAGGCTCTAGAGGAAAATCCATTTCTCTCCTCTTACAGCTTCTGGTGGTTTTCAGCATTCCTTAGCTTGTGGCCACATCACTCCAATTGTCAAGACCAGACTTTCCAATCTCTGCCCCCGTCTTCACATCACCTCCACATATACAGGTTCCAGGATTTAGGATATGGATTTTGGGGGGTGGGCCCTTTTTCAGCCTATCACAGGGGCTGTAACACACAGAGCATGGATCTGAAAATCCTGCCATATGATAAACAGTCATAAGTTCTAGGACATTTACATTTTCAGCTTTTCATTATAAAATACAATATACATGTATATGTAAAAATATATAAATCATAAATAACTATAAATCAAAAACTCATGTAACCACCCCCTAGGCCAAGAAATTAAACCTTGCTTTCCCTTATTGTTTTATCCTGCCTCATGTCTCCTAAACAATGTGCTTTCATGTAACGTGGATTTCATTGTTATATAAATGGAATCAGGCTGTATGTCCTCTTTTATGTCTTAGTCCTTTCGCTCAGCTTCAGGTTTTTCAGATTTTTCTGAGCTGTTGAGTGTGGCTACGATATGTTCATTTTCATTGCTGTGTAGTAGTTCATTGATGAGCACTTCAGGCTAGAGAAGAGAGGATCTGGGATTGTTATGAGGGCATGGGGAGAGGAGACAGTGGCGGCATCGAGGTTGGTCAGACTGTTGACAATTAAACAATCAGTTCTGGCAGACAGAGCTATGGGCACTAGGGGGAAGCTCAACTCAGTGTTAACAAGAAGTTCTTAGAGTTGGCCACAGTGGTCTTGAAAGGAAGAGAGCTGCCCAGGTTGCCACGGGACCCTATCAGTGGAGCCGACTGAGCATGCACTAGATGGCCATTGGTATGGAAAGCCCCAGACCAGAAGGAGGTTGGGCTAGAATGAAGCTAAGGCCGAAGCTGTGACCCTGGCCAATCCTGGGAGCCCAGCCACGCCCCTGAGATGCCCCAGAGGCAAACGGCCTGAACGGCTACTCAGCAAAGGAGGCTTTGGACCCCCACACCATTCTTTCCTGTCTTCTAAGCAGCCCTTACTCAGGCTCTCTACCCACAAACCTTCCCTGGCTTCTTAGCAATGCCTAAAACCCTTCCATCAAATAGTAGTCCTTCCAACTTAAGGCTTTGGCCCTGGTTAGCCCTCAGGCTCTGCTCAGTCATAGAGACCAGTGAGTGAGTGGTGCTGGGCTCTTTCCTAAGGACAGCCTTTCATGGGGAGCTGGGAACAGAAGGAAACCAGAATAAGAAGGAAGTGAAGAGCAGCCAAAGCTGGCCTTTCCCAGACATCACCCTTTCAGCTGCTGAGTAGAGGCTCCATTGAGTAGGAGAGCAGGGCACACTCTGGGCCACTTCAGCAGCCCTGTCCATCTGGGCGGGGGGCAGGGACCTAGATCAAAGGCTGGTCACCTCTCCAGTGGTGATCTCTCAGTGTGGGAGTCCTACTGCGGGTCAACTGAGGTGTCTTGAGGAGGTCTAGGGCAGCATGAAGGATGTGGCTTGTGAGTTGGGGAGGATTGAAAGACCAGTGAGGGCTTTCCCTCTGGGTATTTACCTTTCACCTGAGAATCACCCTTTCAGCTGCTGAGTAGAGGCTCCATTGAGTAGGAGAGCAGGGCACACTCTGGGCCACTTCAGCAGCCCTGTCCATCTGGGCGGGGGGCAGGGACCTAGATCAAAGGCTGGTCACCTCTCTAGTGGTGATCTCTCAGTGTGGGAGTCCTACTGCAGGTCAACTGAGGTGTCTTGAGGGGGTCTAGGGCAGCATGAAGGATGTGGCTGGTGAGTTGGGGAGGATTGAAAGACCAGTGAGGGCTTTCCCTCTGGGTATTTACCTTTCACCTGAGATGTCCACCATCTGCGACATTAAAGGCAACTGGGGTTAGCCTGTTATGAAGGAGGAGGGGGCAAATGTATCTACTTTTCAGCCTTCTAGAAGAAAAGTGTTTCTCCTCCCTCTATACCTTACACCTGCCCAACCATAAAATCTCCATAAAATAAAAATGCTTGGTTAAATTCAAAGGGTGAAAGTTAAAGAGACATACAAATTGAAGAATTCTAAAGCTCTTTTGATCTGCAAAAGTGTGCTCCTGGCAAGAGTAAGAAATGAGTGGGTTGAAAGATTGCTTGAGAGAATCTTGGTGTGTGACATGAGTGTGACATGAACACCTCCTGACAGTTCCCACGTGACCGGAGGGACAGACAGAGATCAAATGAGAGCAGGAAGGATACGGGGCAGACTTTGGGAGAACTTTTTCACTCCTCATGATCATGAAATGCACAGGAGTGGGTTATCAAGAGGGATTATGTGTGAGATCAAATGAGAGCAGGAAGGATACGGGGCAGACTTTGGGAGAACTTTTTCACTCCTCATAATCATGAAATGCACAGGAGCGGGTTATCAAGAGAGATTAGGTGCCTGTTCCACCACCACCTTTGAGGCTAGGGGTTGTTAATTCTAAGTTTGCAGCATTCACAGTGGCCTGTTTTGAAAAAAATATGTCTCATATTCAAGAAAGCATCACAATTGCCATGCACAGCCATATCTTCAGTGGCGACTGCATTACCCTGAGAGGCTTAGCAGCAGCAGCATCTGGAATCAGTCAGCAGTCAAGCAATCAGTCAGCATTGAAGGTAAAGAGAGACCATCTCTGAGATGATGAGGTCACTCAGTAGAAAAATAATATAGCAACAAAAGCAACATTACTTTCTATGTGCCTACCACTTTACAGTTGTCAGTAGCATTACCCAGTCCAGGACCACTGTGTGCAGACTGCATGTGGAAAAATGTGCGTGATGTCATCTCGAGTTGTGCAGTGCAAAACCTGCCCCACTATTCGTGGTGGCCCTTTCACTCATAGAATCTCATTTAAAGCTCTTCGGGTGTAGAATTCTTTTTACGTTTTCAGTTGATTTCACATCCATTTGGTCCTTATGAAAGTTTTGTGAGATTACAGGGCTAGTGTCATTCTCCCCAGACTACAGGTAAGAAAACCAAGTCCCAGAGAGGAGCGGGGGCTGTTCTAGGCAACTAGAAGAATGAGATTAGAACCCACAACTGGTAGCTCTTGGTTCAGGACCATTTCTGCCAACCGAAACCACTTAACCCAGTCTTTCATGAACTCCTCTAGGATGTAAGAGATGGTTGTTGGGGAGTCATTGGAAGCAGAGGGGGGCCGGGTAAATGCTTCATCTTCTCTCCTTGCCCCAAATCTGGTCTCTGGCCTGGCCCAGCCCTCCCCATGGCCAGCTCCCTTCTTTATGACTCTCCTCTCCATGCCCAGATTTGAGCGGGAGCAGAATGACACCTTCATCATGGAAATCCTAGACATTGCTCCATTCACCAAGATGCGGATCCGGATTGACGGCCTGGGCAGCCGGCCCGAGTGGTTCCTGGAGAGGGTAAAATGTCTAGACCCTCACCCTCCCTTCCAGCCACCACCCTCCCCTTCTCCCTGTTCTTTTGGATTGTCACTAGACCTTGTTAAAGTGCAAATGTCACCAGAGAAGTTTATCACATGAATGTGGCTAGCCCATATAATCTAATATGCCCTTTGGTGTGGATTAATCTGAGAGCATAGTTGTATTTATTTGTGTCCAGAGAGTACTGAATCTCTGAGAAAGAACACAGTGTGAGCTGTCAACCTAATGCAGACAGACTGGAATAAGGGGAGGGGCTTGGTGTGGGCTTCTCCAAGGATGTGAGTTGAGGGGGACTGAAGGGGCAGCAGCAAGAACTGGCTCAGAGAGAGGCTCTCCTGGTGGGAACTTTAGGCTGGATGGCAGGGGAGTTTGGGGTGCCCCTGTGATCCCGTAGCTATATGGCTGCCTCTTTTTTCCATGTTGGACCTCCACTCACAGGAGGAGTCTGAGCCTGACCAGCAGCAGCCTGGCTGAGGATCCCGGATGCTTGGGCTCTCAGTTGAGCTGAAACCAGCCTTGGTGCTGGAATGCTGGGATCTTCAAGGAGCAACAGAACTGTGGGATTCCTTAGTTCTGCCTCTATCATCCTCATCTCCCCAGCACATGTATGCATGTGTGCATGCACACACATGCTCACACATGCACACACAGCCACAGACTCAGCTTCCACCAAGAAAAGAAGGCAGCTGCTCCTTCTTAGGACTTCTCTTTCATAGTTTCCTCACCTTTCCCATGCCCTGGGGCCCCGTGCTCCAGGCTGCCCAAAGGAGGGTCATTAACACTCACTGTTCTAGACTGGAGAAGAGAGCAGAGTTCTCAGAGCCTGGGGGCCAAGCAAGATGAGATTTGATGGGAACTAACGGGATGTTAGGAGTCCAAGGTGCTTTCCATACTGAGTATGGCCCCAAAGCAGGAGGCCCCCAGCAGCCACAAAGAAGCTTGTTTGCAGCCCCACAATCACAGCAAAGACAGTAGCTGTGATGACTTAGCTGACTGTCCCTCAAGCATGGCCTCGGTGTCACGTGGGCCCTGCGCTTTTGGACATGTGTGGTTCTGGTGTCCTGTCTGCCCTCCTTGTGCAATGTGTGTTGGTGTCCTTGGGCAGCCATAACCAAGTACCACAGACTGGCTTAGAACAACAGACTTTTCTTGTCTCACTGTTCTAGAGGGTAGAAGTCTAAGATCAAGGCATCGGCAGGACCGTGCTCCCTCTGAAGGCTCTAGGAAAAGATAGCTTTCAGGCCTCTCTCCTAGCTTCTGGTAGTTCCTTGGCTTGTGCTGGCATCATGCTAATCTTTACAAGGCAATCTTCCGTGTATGTCTCTGTGCCCAAATTCCCCCTGTTTATAAGGACGTTGGTCATATTGGATTAGGACCCACCCTAATGACCTCATCTTAATTAATTCCATCTGTAACAACCTTATTTCTAAATAAGGTCACATTCTGATGGATGATGGGTTAGGACTTCATCATATGAATTTGGGGAGGACACAATTCAACCCATAACACAAAGTCTTCCTTTCCCCTGCCTGAGTTAGTCCACACATCCCTCATTCACCAAAGGCCATCTGTCCTGAGTCACCCAGGGTCCTCCTTCCCTGTTGAGCCATTAGCAGGTTTTTCTTGAGCAAACAATATAGTTCCCACACCAAGGACAATCTGGCAAATGTTCCAGGTGTTTGTGGCTGACAGTGGCTTGACTGGTCCATTCTTCTGTCATTCATACAGCAAACATTTCTCATGCGCAATAATAGGCACCTCTTAGGAAACATTTTTAGTAAATTGCCAATTCCCAAATCCCCAAGCTAAGGGATTCACCATGGAGGTTTCAGACTCTGTGCCAGGCGTGCAGGGCAGGATCTTTGTCCTGGAGAAGGCCCTGGCCATGCCCCTCAAGGCTGAATCACAAGGGCTGGTCTCAGATCTGGGATCTTGGGTCACTGGCGTTCAGTGGAGGGGCCGCATTGGTGGGTGGGGGCTGGTGGAGATGAGGGAGGGCGTTCACAGCGGGGCTGCCTCTCCCCAGATCCTCCTGAAGAACATGAACACTGGAGACCTGACCATGTTCTACTATGGAGACTGGCTGTCCCAGCGGAAGGGCAAGAAGACCCTGGTGTGTGAGATGTGTGCTGTCATCAACGAGGAGGAGATGATGGAGTGGACATCCTACACTGTCACGGTTAAGACCAGCAACGTCCTGGGTGGGTTGTGGGTCCCTCCCATCTCCCGTTGTCCTTGCCTCTCACCCTCAAAGTTTGGCTTGGGCCCTTGTTTCCAGTCAGCGCATTGTCTTCTTATGGCCTTCCAAAAGCTAGTCAGTCGAGTCTTTGCCACAGCGTGTCACTTTCTGTCTAGACAAAGTATTTCCCCCCAGTGACTGAGCTGGCTCCTCCCTCCTCCCTCAGGGAAGTGGGGGAGAACATTGCTGGGGAGTATGGTCAGCACTTCCAAAAGCAGTGCAGGAGCTTGCCTCAGAGCCCTTCCGTCCTGGCCTGCCTGCTGCTGCCCGACGCCCCTCACCCAGGTGCCGTTTATCACGGGCACTCTCCGGTTCCTTCCCACATCCGTGTGCTTGGTGACCATTTGCTATGTTGGCCTTGGGTCTTAGGATAGGGATGTGACTCCAGGGCCCCTGTGGTTGTGACATTCTAGTGGAGCAGCCACAGTGCAGTGTGCTGAGGCTCCAACAGGCGTTAGCCCAGGGTGCTGTTGGAGAACCCACAGGAAGGCACCTTCCCTACCTGGAGATCAGGGGCAAGGGTCATGGAAGGCTTGCTAGAGGTGATGCCGAAGTCAAATTCAGAAAGACAAACTGAAGTCACTTAGGCAGATGAGACACCCAGAGGAAGGGCCTTTCAAGCAAAAGCACTAGCGTGTGCAAAGGGAACACATTCTCATGTCGCTGTGGAAGTGATGCCCCCCACCCACCCTCCCTACACCAAGCCCACTCTCCAGGAGCTGTAGCGAAGAGTCTGGCAAACTCAATCACACTGATTGTAAATGGCTGGTAACTTGTTGGCCCCGGTAGACTACATCTTCAAAGAGAAGCATTCGGACAAAGAAATGAAGTGCTCGTGGTAGGGTCACAGGTGTGAGTGAGGGGTCAGTAAATCTGGTGAAGTTTGTTTTGGGTATCTCTCCTTCTTTTTCTCTCACCGTGGAACCTTCACCCTTATTGCTTAAAGTTCCAAGTGTCCCCATGCTTTCAAGCTCCTCCATCCCCTCACAATGTGCTCTCAGAAAATAATAGATAAATTCATTGACAACAGCAGGGTGTGTCAGAAAAACTTCACAGGGTCACCTCTTCCAGACTCATTTGCTTTTTAACTGGGGCCAATACCTCCTGTGGCTTAAGCAAATGACATAAAGCTCTAGTGTAGGATGTCAACCAGAGGTAGATTTGAGGAGCAGGGAACTTTCCTGCTTCCCTCTGAACCTTCATTGTGTGGGAGGTAGCCCATATTTTTAACTATGAATCCAAGTCTGCATGGCATGCCTTTTAAGTTTGAGTGTACTTCTTCAGAAATAGATGAGTTTTTGTATCAAACCATTCACACTGGCTGACTATGACTCTAGTTAGACCAACGGTATTTGCAAGGCACAAAGTTAAGGTTAAGAACAGAATTGGATACCTGGGAGTCCCAGGACTCTAACTGGCTCTTTCCAACCTCACCCCAGTCCTGTCAACTCTGACTGTGTCCACCTGCACCCTTAGCTCCTCCATGGAGTCCAGGGGCAAGGCCAGAGCAAGAGGCCTATGTGTCAGAGAGTCTGGCACCTGGAGCCTCATCTTGTGCACTCCTCCAGGAGCAGGCACTGATGCCAACGTGTTCATCATCATCTTTGGGGAGAACGGGGACAGCGGGACACTTGCCCTGAAGCAGTCAGCCAACTGGAACAAGTTTGAGCGAAACAACACAGACACGTTCAACTTCTCCGACATGCTGAGCCTGGGCCACCTCTGCAAGCTGAGGGTCTGGCACGACAACAAAGGTAGCTCCCCCTCAAGGCAGGACGGTGGGGAGGGCAGCCCTCATTTCTCCACCTGAGCCCTTCCCTGCCTCCCTGGCAGCAAGTTGACAGCCTAGACCAGGGTTGCATGGTTGTCAACACCAATTTGATGCTTCCATAAGTTAGAGAATGTGTCTCTGGATATATGTTAGAGATGAGGCTTAGCTCCTTCTGCTTTTTTCCTGGGTAATTAGTGGTTCTTTATTTTTTGTGATGTCGGATCATTAATGCTCCTTAGTTCAGACAAACATTAAGGAAAAAAGGGCTATATCACCAAATTCACTTCCCATAGATTTTATATAAAGGAGTATACTTGTTTATTTATAATATAGTAAGCCTACAAGTAGTTGAATTCACTTATAAATATGAACTATGAAATAGGATATAAGTCAAGTGAGAAATTTATTTTTAATTTCAAAGTACCTAAGGAATACTTTGTCACATCCATAACTGTGATGAAGTTCACATTTTCAACATTTGCTTGATTATCTTTTTGCTGTCTTCAGGCCGCTCTGAATATTTTCTCTGGCTTTGGGCCTGTAGGTTCTATCTGACATAATTAGTCGAACTGCTAAATATTAAGTCTCACCTCTTTGGTGCATACTGCTTTCAAATCCAGCTCTCTTGTCTTCTGTGGAAACTCGCCCCTGCCAAGCTATCTGCTTCAAGCCTTGTCCAGACTTTTCTGAGTCTCCCTCTTCTGTTGCCTGGAGCTGTCCTGATGTTGCATATCTCCTCATTTCTTCCAACTTTTTGCTGAGGACCAGCCTGTCTGTCCTGGTCACTGATGAAACCCAATTCAGCAATTTGCAACTTCTCTTTCTAAAGGAGCTAGACTATTTTACTTTAACATGGGTTAAACAGTTAATCTATTTTCCATAACATGGAATAAACTCAGATTAGGTGCAAATAAAATAACCAGTCTTCAAAACAATAAAATAACAAATACTTGCACAGCACTCCACAGTTTTCAAAATTTCAGTGTATCCATTCAGTCATTCATGTATTGAACAATTAATGTGTTTGTGATATGCCTGGAACTCTGTTAGGTATTAAAGACACAAACATTTGATCCTTTTTATTTTTTTATTTTATTTTTTTAAAGATGACCTGTAAGGGGATCTTAACCCTTGACTTGGTGTTGTCAGCACCACGCTCACCCAGTGAGCCAACCGGCCATCCCTATATGGGATCCGAACCCATGGCCTTGGTGTTATCAGCACCACACTCTCCCGAGTGAGCCACGGGCCGGCCCATTTGATCCTTTAAAAAAAAAAAAAAAAAACTTGTAAGTTACTGCAGCAAAAGCACTTTATTGTTCCTCTTTTCTATAACCAAGAAATATTGAGTCTTAGTGAGGTTCAAATGTCTTACTCAGGATGACACAGGAAGAAAGGGACACAGCCAGCACTCAAATCTCAGCCTTCTGATGCCTGTCTTGATATGCCATGCTGTGTGCCAGTCCATTCCGCATTCTGCACCTTCACCAGCCGCTGTGCCAGAGGGTCCAAAGAGATGAGATGGTGAAGGGCAGCCTCCTCTATCTGTTTGCTCTGTCCCCCGATATGTTTATCATCAGTGTGCATGGGGGTAGTCTTATACAGAAAAGACTGCAATGCAAGGGGGCTCTTCTTCCTCACCTGTCCATTCAAGTGGCATTATGAGTCTGTGGAAAGAAACATATTGCAAAACATTCTCAAATATCCTTAATGAGCCTCTCCTGTTTACCAAGAAGGAAAGAAAACAGAGAACCCTGAGAGTTTTTCCCCCACCCTCTTGTCATCCATTATGATTGTCTTAGGACTAGTAGTAGGTGGAAAGTCCAGTTGAATAAAAATAGTCATAATTATTAAAACCGTAGCTTCTACCCCAGACATTTCACAAGATCAGGATGAGCCTCTGCCCACGACACTCAACAGGGGATCATTCAGTTAAGACAAGTGTAAAAACACTGAGCCCATTGTGTGGGATTAGAGGGATTTGACATATGAGATTAGTGGGGTCCGGTCGGTGGAGGGTCGGGTGGAGGGCATAGGGATGAGGTCTGTGTAACCTAACATTCATGCATATGGTCTTTCCTGTTGTGGTGCTTAAGCCATTGTTTAGGAAGTATATTCCTGGGAACTATGTCCCTGCCTTAATCAGAAAGAAGCACATTGTATCTGTGGGTTTCCAGCTCTCTGTCTGGCTACCAGCACACACTGGCAAGATATCTTTGCTCTTGGAACCAGGTTTATTCGCCTTTATCTTCATAGCTACCCATAACAGTGCCTGGAGCATAGGGGGGACTCAAAAAATGTTAGCTTAGTTGAGACCCCCCAACACACAAGGAGAGAGCTGAAAAATACCAAATTCTTGAATCCTGTTCTGCCACAGCCTCTATCTCAGCCACAACAGAGAATCAAAGGTACTAGAACTCTGAGGAGGAAGAAATAATCTTCCCGGGCAGCCTGAACTGTTCCTTCAGGATTCAGCCACACTAGGGGACCAGAGGGCAAGGAGTTCCCTGACCATCTCCCAGTCAGGCCAGAAAACTGTAGACTATGATGACCCCCATTTTCCAAGAAGGAAAGACAATGCCAGGACAATTTACAATATGGGTGTTTCATTTATTGTGAGGGAGGGAAGTGTGAGGGTGCAGAAGTTGGCCAGAAAGACTGAGGGTGCCTGTGTTAAAACTACCCTTGTGAAGAAACCATGCAATAGTCTTTGGGGGGCCTTGGAGCTATCCAGGGTTCTGACTGCTCCTCTGTCTTCTCTCAACACCAGACTCTACAGCCCGATCCAGCATTCTTGCCTTGCAGGCTGACTGTTTTCAACCTGAGTTGCTATAGGCATCCAGATGCTTGCCAAGGTGGTTCAGATTGCCATGCCTCCTGCCCCCCAAGTCACAGCAATAAGAGGCAGAGAGTTGCTGATCCAAGATGAGAGCACATCTCTATGTCTCCTGCCTGCAAAGGTCACTATATCCAACTCCATCTTATCCAACTCTGAACCCCACCTGACTAAACCCTCTGTTCCTTGGCTGACTTCCCCTATTGTTGCCACACCTTCAATGTCTGCCCTCACTTTCCATCTCAATAATTTTTCTTGAAGAACCTTCCAGAGTCCTCTTGGGTATTCCTGCCTCCATGCTGTATCCTTCCTTCCAAACCATCTAGGAAAGTAAAGGCTCATGACTTAAGAAAAATGTTCAAAAAGTCATGCAGTAACACTTCAAGAGTAAGGGATAGTGTTTGTTTTCAGTGATGCCTGTTTTCCTCTTTCTTGTTTTTCTCCTTCTACCTGACATGTTCTCTCCTTAGACAAAATGATCGGTCCAGGTCCTTTACTACTGCAGCTCTAACAATCCCCACAGTTTTAATATTCATATCAGTAAATAAATCAAATACAGTTAGTTTTCATTGTTCACAGTAAATATGCTTTATAAAGTTGCCTCAAACGCTGAGTTAGGAAATACTGAACAATTGCTCCTATGGGAAATGCAGAGTCAGGTTCCTGTGTGCCTCTGTTGACAACATTTTAATCAGCTGACTAATACATAACCTTGGTTCATGTGTGTTTCTGTTTAAAGACACCTTATGTAATATTTACTGTTTATTCATTAACAGTGAACTCATGGCCAACAGTATTATAACTCATGCCTGAACAAAGCTTATCTAACACGTATTTTCTCTGAAGCACATCACAGCTTTCTTGCCCTAAGGAACAGTAAATAGCACTTCAGCTTGGGGCCAACCACTATGTTTGGGGGACAATTTTAAGAAATGAACTTACCAACAAAAAACACAAAAAGATGAAAGATATAGCACTCAATAGACCACAAAAAGGGCATTTATTTACAGTATTAGAGCTGAAACAAGAAGTCAGTGTAGCCTTGTTTGACCTCAGCTGGGAATGTGTGCATCAGGAGACTCAAATTTTTCACCATCCTGCATATGTCCAAGAATGACAATGTGAGTATTAATTTTAGGGTTACAAATAAATTTTATCAAAAAGGCAGATCCACAAAGGTGGGGCATATAAATAATGAGGATCAACTGTTTCTATTTTTAAATTGTCTTTTTTTTTTTGGCAGCTGGCAGGTATGGGGATTTGAACCCTTGAGCTTGGTGTTATAAGACTGCACTCTAACCAACTGAGCTAACTCACCAGCCAATAACTGTATCTATTGAGCACTTACTGCCAGATGTTGTGTTTAGTGTTGGGGACAGAGTAGTGAACAGCAGAGAAGTCTTCTGTCATCTTGAAAATGATCTTCTAGCAAAAAATACATTTATTAAACAAGTAATTAATTTAAATAATGATAAGACTCTAAAATGGAGATCCACAGAGTGCTAGTGTGAGGGCTCAGAGAAGACCTCTCTGAAGAAGTGATATTTAAGCTAAGCCCTGAGGAATGAAGAGGAGTGGATATTAGGTAAAGTGTTTGCTAAAAATGGAGGAGGACATCTGAAGCAAAGTGAATAGCAAATATAAAAGCCCTGAAATAGAAGATATCTTGATATGTGCCAGAAACTAAAGAAAAATCCAGAATGGCTACAAAACAGGGAATAGTGAGTGAGAGCTAAAAAGTAGAAAGGAATTAGGCCATGCATGATATTTTAAGCCGTGTCTTTTTTTTTTTTTTTTTTCCTATTTTTGCCTTTTTTCGTGACTGACAACAGATCACAACCCTCAGTGTCGCGCCTGTACCGGACCGGGACCGGCAACGGGATCGCAACCCTCGGTGTTGCTCCCGCACCTCGCTCAGCCAGTGAGCGGCCGGTCTGTATGTGGGATCCAAACCCTCAGCGGGAACGCCACCACGCTCCCAAGCAGCGCACTGTAGCAGTGCGCCACCGGGCCGGCCCTTAAGCCATGTCTTTATTCTAACTGCACTGAGAAGCCATCAGAGGATCTCAAGGACAGGAGTCACTCGGGGAAGATCACTGTAGTTCCTGCGGGGAACAGGTTAGATGGAAAAGAAAATGAACCTCAAA